CAGGTAATGCCAGTAATCTGCTATAAAATGGCTCTTGTATCCTGAATGCAGAGTTCTGGCCCTGTTCACAGCCCTCTCCAGAGCAAACTGAAGCCGCAGCTGCCCCAACTCACTGTACATTCATACTTCCAGACCAACCACAGAAGATAAGCCACACCCTCCCTGTAACGTCCAGACTCCTCCTGAAAGCTGCAACACCATCACCTTGTCTGCTTCCATCTTAAACCCCACTTAGGCTTAGCTTGGCTCCTGGGTTCATTTTACCACAGGGATTTGTCTGTGGCATGCCTGCCCTGCCTCCCTCAGAAGGTCCCTCAGGACAACCCTCCAGAGGGCACCTCAGGACTGACAGGGGGAGCTCTGAATCCTGTTTTAAGTACAGGCTCCTCCCTCCTGTCCACCTCTAAAAGTGGGAAGGACCATAAACTGTCCCTTCCTTTCCCAGGAACAGGCTAGAATGAAAAGTGGCCTGCCTTCTGCCACACCTTCCCCCCTTCCCTGCGTATCACATGTGAGGGGGGGTAGCCTAAGGAGTGTGATTGTGCATGCGCATGCGCGTGCACACACACACACACACACACACACACACACACACCCGAAGTATGGCCCACGGACCCACCTGAGCCCACCTCACCCTCCCCTTCTTACTGCCTCTCACAGCTCCCATGTGGGCCTCCAGCTCTGAGGAGTCTGTGGAGCACTGACTGCACTCACTACCCTGCCACCAGCAGCTGCCACTCTCCCTGGGAAAGCTGGAGCTGCCTCAGGTGACCCCCAGACCAGTCCTCTAAAAGCAAGCAGGGGGAATGAAAACACATCACACAGCGCAAATTCCATTCTTCATCTGCCCCCTAGGAGGTCCCATTTGGGGAAAGTTCAGAGCAGACAAGGGCCTCCCAATGATTGAGCAAGCCGTGTGTGTGTGTGTGTGTGTGTGTGTGTGTGTGTGTGTGTGTGTGTGAAAAACCTGTGAGCAAAATGGCATTTCTGTGGTGTTGCTGGAATCCTGGGGGGAAGAGCCCAGAAAATATGAGTCAGTTGTTTACGGGGAGACTAGCTCTAGCCCTGACTTGGACCTGAGTCACCTCCTCAAGTCCATTTGTGAGGTTAGACCTTCCTGAACTCAAATAATAATTCCTGTGCACGCAGGGCAGGATTATAGGATTAACACACGATCCTCAGGCTGCTGCTGAGTTCTTGCTACCCAGAGATTATGACCCACCTGTCCTCACAGCTGTTTCACTAGCAGTGCAACCAGCAGGCTACAAGCAACTGAGAGGGAGGATAATATTTATTCATTAAATAATTAAACGGACTTAAAACAAAGACCAAAAAAAACGAAGCCTTTAGTACTGTTCTGTCAGAAGGGAGGAGGAGCAATGATTCCTTCTGCTGTGTGTCTGGGTGGAGGCAGGGGAAAGATTCAATGGAGGGGAAGGGTGTGCAATGGCAGCGTCCTAACCCATGCATCTAGAAGCCCGCCTGGACCCAACACATGCAGGGAATTTTATTCTGCACTTTTAACCAGACTGTGGATAGCCTTAGTCTAAACAAGCATTTCCCAAAGTGTAGTCTATAAAACATAAATGTCAAGAAGCTTGGTAAATCTGCATTCCATAGTCCTTTATAGGGATCATGCACAATTCCTACTAGCAGATTGTAAATACCTAAGAAGTCCAACAGTAAAGAAAACTGCTTAACTTTGTTTAACTCAACACATTTATTTGACCCTCCTACCAGCACTACAGGAAAAAACACCTATTAATATCCCATGGCATGGGCTTTGGAAAATATCTTCGATTTGAGCATTCATTTTCCATCCTAGAGAAAACTGCCTTCCTGGGACACAGCTAGGGGTGTGAGACCGACTCCACTAGGTCTGGACAGAAAAGAACAGCAGTCCCACTAAGATGGCACAGATTGGGACAACAGTCAAGGGAAGACGGAAGACCCTCTGGAATAGCCGCATTTTTGGAGGAAATTATAACTCTGTTGCAAGAGGAAAAGAAGGCCAGCTCCACTCAGGACCTCACAATTCTACCTTGAGCCTACCATGTCACTACTCCTTTTGAAGTCTCCTTAGACTGAGGAACATTGGTCCCAAGTTCAAAGCCTTATTTCCTTTTTGAAGAAACATTAAGACAACCTCTGATGACCAACCCCCGAGTGTGCATCTCCTGCCCTGGAGACCAGAGCACATTCACTTTTACCATTTAATTGCCCCTTAAAAGCCCCTAAAGACAGGAAAGACTGGAATCAAATTATGCCTAATCAAGAAGGTTATTAGTCTCCTCTTCCTGAAAAGGATGCTGTGGACTTTTTTCCTTCTCATTTCTAGGGTATGCATGACTCACATGGGAGTTGGCTAAAGGAGCTTTACCTGATAAATATCACCTCCATGACAGACCTCACCCATAGCATTCACTATTGTACCCCCATGTATGAAATATAGTAGGCATCAATAAACACCTGTTGAAAGAATAAATCATAAAAGAGTGAATGAATGAACAAACTAAGTAGATAGATCTACCTAAGGCAAGAGATAGTCAGTATTGGATATGGTAAAGATATGGTCTCAGGCCAAACTACCCAGGTTTGAATCTTGTTCCACACTTCATTGCATGACCTTGGTTAAATGACTAAACTTCTCTAGCGCAATTTTATTCACTATATGATGGAGTTATTAATAGTACCGACCTCATAGGTAACCATGATGATTAAATGAGTATGTAAAGTGCTTAGCATAGTACCCAGTACATAGTATGTGCTTCACAAGTATTACTCATCAACATCATTGTCATCATTGTCATGATGTCAAGTACAAGAAAGTCCAACTGGGGAAATGAACACAAAGTTTCATCTATGCACCGAATCCCTTTACTCAACATTATTTATTGAGCACTGTTAAGTGCCATGTACTCTCTCAAGCTCCTATCTGGGTGCAAGGAGAAAGAAACCATGTTTAAATGTGAAACAGAAGGAAAAGCAGCTTTCTCCTCTAAAAATGACATTTCTGTTGACTGTACATGGCCAGCACGTCAGTCAAGAGCCCATCCACTTAAGCCCCCTCTACATGAAAGTCCAAAGCCATGACCTCCTGTCCTGGATATGCAGCCAGTAGATGGAAAAACCGAAAGATTAATACATCTGGGGAGAGAACCAGGAAGGTCAGTGAGTAGTTTTAGGGGAGAAAATACATCGTTCTCCTTAACCCTCCATCTGCCCATGATATTTTCAAGATCTGGGATTGATTTTGAGGTTATTTGAAGAGCAAGTTTCCAGTGTACAAACAAGTAAAATTGTCCTCATCTCTCAAAAAAAAAAAAAATCCTTTATTTACCTAAGCATCACTCACTCCTTATCCAGGCTCTCAGAAGGACTGAAGATGAACTTAGAGTGGGTGCTGAGAGGTCCAGGAATCTCTATGCAACCCATACCTACAAGCCCTATGATTCTTAGGGAAGCCCCTACTATCATTTCAGAGCAAACAGGCTCCTCAGAGTCACAGTCAGCCTATCCCAACCACCTCAAGCCTGCAGTCATCACTCTGAGAGGTGAGAAGTGATAGGGGCTCCATCTACATTGCTCAGTGACTACCACTCAGCACTGGTACTCTCCTCCTCAAGGGAGGAATTTGTCTTATGAGGACTCCAGCTGCAGCCAACTTTGCCCTGAAGTTGGCCACATGTTGGTCCCCACATTCAGCAGGACGAATAAGGAGGCCCCAAAACTACCCTAAATTCCTCGTAGTTATTCCAGCTTTCAATCCAGCTACTAGGCTAATATGTCATCACCAAGTTTCAGCTACAAACAAGGACCTAACAGTCTGCGGAAATGACACTCTAGTTAGCAAGGTTTTGTTACTTCAGGGCCTCTCAAAACTCACCCCAAAGGCCTCTGCCAGCCAACACAAGCTATTAGCAGTTCCCTGGCAAAGCAGCTACCAGGAAGTTCAAGGGCAGAAAAGCCAACTGCCAGAGACAGCACAGTACTTCTCCCTTGCAGGGAAAGAGTCAAAGAGGCTAAGGATGAAGGTCTCAAATGGTCCCATCACCCTGTCATCCTGTCCATTCCACGGCCTGCAGGTAGAGGTCCACCTCAGCCTCCCTTCACCATGCAGCATCCGGCCAGTCCTCAAGCACCTAGAAACTTATCTGGGAGCTTAAGTGGCAGCAAGTCTCAGGACCCTTAATTTCTGTAAACCTTCCCAAATCAGTGTAGGCAGCCAGGGAGCCTAGTTGCAGGCAGTTGACCAAAGGCCACTGAGCCCTGGCCACCACCGAGACAGGGACAGGGTAGGGGCGAGGGCCGGTTGAGGGGCGGGGGGATGAGCCGGGGGCGGGTTGCTGAGAAGGTGGGAGAACAAGTTCCGACCCCAGGGCGATCCACTCCCGCCCTGAGCCGGGGGTTCCGCTGGACGCAGACCCAAGGTCAGCAGCGCAGCGTCGCGCGCACTCACCAGGTTCAGGGGACAGCGCCATACCGTGGGCCTGAAGGGGCGGCCGCAGGGCCCGAGCCCAGGTGGCGGATCTGGGCAGGGCGCACAGCCAGAGTCGCGGAGGGGCTGCCGGCCGCGCCCCGGGCCTGTCCGCACCCCCCGGCCGGAGCTCCGCGGAGTACGAGGCACAACCCGCTGCAGAGCGGGGGGCCGAGATTTCCCGGGGCGCAGCTCTGCGGAACCCCCACCCCAGAGTTCCCGGGCCCGCTCCGCTGAGGAGCAGCCGGCCGCCGCGCGCCGCGGGAAGGGGCGCCCTACCTGGAGTGCGCGGAGGAGAGGCCAGGGCAGGGGGGGCCGCCGCCGCCGCGCAGGTCTGCCTCGCCCGCCGCGGGCCCGCCGGGCCTGTACCCCGCGACCTGGAGCGCCGGGCCGCCCTGCCAACTGGAAACTTGGGCTCCGGGGGCGCGGCGGCCGCCCAGTCCCTCCGCCGGAAGCGCGCCCGCCGCAGCCCGGTCAGGCCCCGCGCTCCCCGGACCCGCCCTCGCCGCGCCCGCCCGGCCCGGAGAGGCGCCCCTGGGCGCTCGGGTTGGCCAGAACCGCCTCCCGCCGCGACCTTCCGCAAGGTGAGATTCTGGGGTCTCGGTCCCCACACAGGTGACTTCTCCCCCAAGCGGAAAGGACTTTGGAGCTTGGGTTTTCTTCGGGACGGGCTGGTCTCTTGAATCACCTTCTTGCCGCTGCGCGCGTGTGCGCGTACACACACACAACACACACACACACACTCCAACCTTCACACACACACACACACACGCCAACCTTCACACACACACACGCCAACCTTCTCACACACACACACACACGCCAACCTTCACACACACACACGCCAACCTCACACACACACACACACACACACACGCCAACCTTCACAAACACACACACACACACACTCCAACCTTCACACACACACACGCCAACCTTCACACACACACACGCCAACCTTCTCACACACACACACACGCCAACCTTCTCACACACACACACCAACCTTCTCACACTCACACACACACGCCAACCTTCACACACACACGCCAACCTTCACAAACACACACACACACACTCCAACCTTCACACACACACACACACGCCAACCTTCACACACACACGCCAACCTTCACAAACACACACACACATACACACACTCCAACCTTCACACACACGCACACACGCCAACCTTCTCTCATTCACACACACATACACACGCCAACCTTCTCTCACTCACACACACGCCAACCTTCACACACACACATACACACGCCAACCTTCTCTCACTCACACACACGCCAACCTTCACACACACACATACACACGCCAACCTTCTCTCACTCACACACACGCCAACCTTCACACACACACACCAACCTTTACAAACACACACATGCCAACCTTCTCTCACACACGCCAACCTTCACAAACACACACACTCATACACACACACACCAACCTCTCACTCACACACACACTCCAACCTTCACACACACATGCCAACATTCTCTCACTCACACACACACACGCCAACCTTCTCACTCTCACACACACACACGCCAACCTTCACGCACACACACACGCCAACCTCTCACTCACACACACACACCAACCTTCACACACACACACCAACCTTCACAAACACACACACGCCAACCTTCACAAACACACACACGCACACGCCAACCTTCCCTCTGGCTTGTACACCCCCCCTCCGGTCCACACTGACCAGCGCGTTGCCACAGCCAGTGGCTTCCTTGCAGCCCTTACGGGCCTCTCAGCGTTTGAAAGGACTGACACGCCTTCCTTCCTGGAATGCTTGGAAGATACAGGTTCCAGAATCATCCCCAGCGGTCTCTCTTCCTCTCTGTCTCTCTGTGTCTAGCTCTCTCTCCTCTTCCCCCAGACTTTCCACATATTTTGGTGACCTCCTTTTGGCTTAAGGGCCTGACTTTTCATTGGGGAGAGACGCTCCCTGAGTTCCCTCTGCTTCCAGCCTCCTTTCTCATTCTGCTGCTCTGCTCTGGGAATCTCACCTGCTCCCATGGTTTTAACAACCTCTTGCCCACTAATGACTCTTGAACCTCATCTCCAGCCCAGAATGCTCCCGAAGATGCAGATGGTGTATCCAACTTCCTGAGGCACATCTCCACCGTTCCCAGGCCCGTGGAAAGGGACACCCTCAAACTTCTACTCTCTTCACTGGAATGTGCCAGCACTCCTTCCTACTCCTGTTTCCAGTCCTCTTGAATGATACCTCCACCACCCGCTCCCCAGGCCACACTTGCCAACCATCCTCTACTCTTCCCCCTTTCATCTCTCACACCAAATGTCTCCAGAGGAGGGAAATGAAACTTTAATAGTGAGCACCCACTGTGGACTCACTGTGCGGTTTTCACATAGTTGTCTCATTTAGGTACCAAGTTTATTCCTTCTAACTCTTAGCCTGATATTTACAGTTTATAAATGATATGCCATGCATTTGCATTAATATATTATAAAGCATGCTCAAAAACCATAAACAGATATGGTGAAGATGAAAAATTTTAAATTACTTCATTTTTAATGAATGGTACACTATGGTTTTTCCCTTCCACTTTAAAGTTATTAGCAAAAATCTGTTCAGTGAAAAGCAACATGATTAAAAATGGTCTTAATAAATCATTAATATATTATGAGACTAAAAAGTATGCTTTTAAGTTCAGTCAATGTCAATACTTATTCCTAATGGGTTTATTGCTCCCCCAAAAAATAACCCACAAAGATTAATAGACACAAATAAATTATGCTTTTGACTGCATTTATTTTAAGTCTTTGTTTAAATCCCACCCACCAATTTTGCAAATGTGAGATTCCACCAGGAAACTCTTCTTTATCCATAGAGCCAGCATTCTTGATGCTTTTATCAGTTCTTCTTGCAAATATTTTTAACAAAAGGATTTTTTTATGCTCAAAACTCATCGTTTGGAAGATTGATTTTATAAATGGGTTTAAAAGTAAACTTATTAATTTTGAAGGCTGTGGCTATGGCAGCCTATATAGGTGACACTGACATGATTCTTCTTGGCATTAAAGTCATTTTTCCCTCACTGGAACAAACATCACTTTTCAAAGTATTTTCCCTATGACCGGGTTCTTTTTTTTTTTTTTTTTTAAATAATAAATTTTATTTTTATATTCCCCCATACAATTGCAAACCCCCCATTCTGACCCCAATCCCTCCCCTCCCGCCCCTTACCCTCCCAAAAGTGTCTCTGTTTCATAGTTTTTTGTTGATTTTGATTTTCACTTTCTTATAGTTATTCATTTTCCTGGTCCAGACCGGGTTCTTTTAACTCATAGTTATTTTCTCAATTCATTGCTAAAATATTACCTTTATATGATAGGAGACTCAGGGTGTGTGTGTGTGTGTATGCACTTGTGACAGTCACACACCAACAAATCAGAGGTTGGCAAATTTGGAACACTTGCCTTTCATTAAAGAAATATATCTTTAAATTCCATACATTACCTTGAGATTACCAGTAAACCTTTGAGTAATATGAAATTATTCCAAATCTTATTTTATTTTTCAAAGTAGCCGTATTATTGACAACCTGTGGTATTTTATGCTCTTCTGAGTTTCAGTTTCTTTATTGCTGTAGTTGGCAAATGAATGATGCAATTGATGAGTTTCATATATGGTTCCTCCCTATCCCCAACTTCCAGTTTTGTATCCTAGCCAGGGCAACATGGATACTTTCACACATGAAAACCACAGCATGTTTTACTGAGTAAGTCATTCACATGATAAACAGATCTTTCCTTTAGTAGACCACAAAAATTACTCCTTTATGAATGCCATGATTAGAAAGTAAAGACTTAAGATGGAATATGTGACCAATTTGTATCTAGTCATATAGTCAACCTCCTCAGCACTTCTTGTATTCTAAATCTTTTCTTTAAATTTTCAACAATGTTTCTGATTTTCAATAGAATGCATTTATAGGGCCTCCCCGGTGGTGCAGTGGTTGAGCGCTGGGTTGCAAAGCTGCCCGCGGCCTCTGCGGCGCTGGTTCGATCCCCAGATGCTCCCCGGCCACCGGAGGAGGGTCCCACATGGCGCTCAGACCTCTTCTGCCGCCCGCTGCTCCCCTCAGCAGTGTACTTCGGTCCTTCTGCCTGCTCTGTTCTCCGCTCTGGCTCTGGTGAATTCTCTCACCCTCCCGCGCTTCTGACTGTACCCAGTGCTTGTATAAACAAAAACAAACAAATAAAGAAAGAAAGAAAGAAAACATGCCTCTATATAAAAAAAAAAATTATAAAAAAAAAAAGAATGCATTTATATGGTGTTGCCATCTTGTCTCTGTAGTAATTCAGTTACTTTAACGGTGGCAAATAGGACAGTGGTTTTCCCAATATTGACTGGTTCGTTTTTGCCTTTTACTAGTAAGTAAAAGGGATTTACTAGTAAGCAAAAGGGATTTCTAATCATGTTTGTTACATTTAATGACCTGGAGTATACCCTCACACACACACACACACACACACACACACACACACACTCACACACACACACTCACACAAAATTGTAGCAGTTTGTATTCTGGGTGTATAAAATGTATGTCTTGCTGATAGTGATGGCATATTTATATTATTTTTAGCTAATACTCCAAAACCCAATGTGCCCTAATGTTGACTGTTAACGATAGTGATTTAAATGATACTTCAAGTAGTCTTTTTTATAAATTTGAACTTCCTCTTGGCAACTCCTTTATGAGAGTTAACTATCATTGTAACGGATCCCCTATTAGTAGTAGGAAATTGTTAGCTCTGCCCTTTTTCTGAATTTGTTATTGCTGACACTATTTGTATTATTTTTCAATTTATGGATTTCTTTGCAGGAATCTTTTCAAGCCACTTGCCCTTTTTGTGCTATTTAATTAAATGATAGGTGATATAACCTCTCTGTACTGCTTGGGATACAAGTAATTCATAATACCTCACAACTCTCTTGAAAGCCACTGGACCAGGAAGGATGCCACCTTCTACCCCACCCATTCCCTGTGTTGATGAACCCCATCTCTTCCCTGAGGTCACCTCTACTATGACCATGATGTGAACACCTGATGCAAGGACTAAGTGTGCCTGTGTCAACTCATATAGTAGACATTGACAAAACATTAATTTCTTTATAGTAACAATTAAATTTGAGTTTTCATTTTCTTCTACATTCCAATGGATCATCTTGCCCACCCCACTTGGAACATCACTGATTTAATCCATCCCTCCCATTGCCTCAGTTCAGTGTAAATACCACCCAACTAGTCCCTGCCAACACAGCCACCACCCCCACCCCACTCCAACTCTCCAGCAGGACCACCAGTCTTTTCTCCATGCTTTTGCCACTAGGAACAGACATCCTGCATCCTCTTCTCCTCTACTCCAATCTGTCAGATGCTCCAACAGTCAAGCCTTGGAGAGCATCTGGGCCTGAGCTGTGGGTTATCTCTGTGATATTCTGACTCCAAATGGCACTGGGGGATGGAAGCCCAGAGGTGTTTGCAGTCTGCACTCTGAACCTACCCCCTCTAAAGTTCTC